AGGGGTCAGGAATTCCAAAGAGTCTTGCTCTTATTGGTCTAGAAGACTCCTGGTGTGGCAGTGCAAGCCAGTCATCCCAGCACCGAGGACATGAAAGTGGAGTCCCAATCCACCCCGCATCACATATGGGTTTAGGCCAGTCTGGCAACCTTTACGTTTCCTTGTCTTTACTGCCACAAAACTGTAGAGAAAGCAATTTTAACAACCCTGAGAGGGGACCCAATAGGTAGATATTGGCTCATTTTACTTAACAACAGTAAGCTAAATGAGAAAAGCGGGTTATAGGAGAACAGGGACAATTATGCCTTGCTAACTTTTTTGTTTGTTTTGGTTTTGTTTGTTTGTTTGGTTGGTTAAGGCAGGCGCCACCACCACCCGGCACCTTGCTAACTTTTATATGAAGAAACACACAACATAAATAGGAAGACACTTTGATCTCCACTAAGAAGGATACCAGTGTTGGCTTACTAGACTTAGAAATCAAGCCAAGTGCAAACATTACAGTTTACAATATTCCATCAGTCCCAAATCCACACCAATAAAGCATCCTTTGGAAGAGCCCTTGAAGCACCCAGAAAGGATGGTGTGTGCAATCTGGACAAAGACAGTCATACCAGCTCTTCCCATCATTAAACCTAATTTTAAAACAACCAATTGGTTGACCGACTTATTTCAGTGCTTGTAAGTACACCTGAGCCTTCAAAGAATTAACATGGAAAATGTGTCATAGTTTTCCCAAAATATGTTTGCAAGGGCATTAATTTGCAGCTCGAATTGGGAATTCCCAGTTAGCTCAGACGTGGGGAGAAGCCTGTCTATGAGGGCCGATGCGGGGCACCTCTTCATCCCCTTGTTTGTATTGCCACAGAAACTTTAAAACCTGACTCAGAAACCTCGAAACCTGTGAGAAGAGACCTAATTAAACAGACATTGGCACATTTATTTAACTCATTTGGTACCACAACGTTTTGAGTGAATTTTAGCCAGCGATGTTAGAGCAGGAAGTGTTTCATGAGGCTCGTTATAAGAGAGCAGTTCAAGATACATATGAATGTTTACAGTTGAAAAGCAATGCACGCTCCTATTTATATATCTGCATAAATGTTTAAAGGACATATAAAAAACTTAATAATGCATCTGCTGAGACAGAAAAAAACAAGTTTTGGTCTGACCACACTCAGACTAAATCTTGTACTATATGCATTATCAACTTTAAATTTTAAAGTAAACACTAGACTCATTAAAATCTATCTCCCTTTATGGAATGGCTGCAATAAATAGACCTTGTAAGCCTCACTGATTTTTATATTTCTTACATATTTATATTAAGTTACATTTATATTTTAATGAAACATGTTTCTTTTCTTTTTAATCTTTTATTTTCTATTTCAATTATAATTTTTATTTTTTAACATTTCATACATGTAAACAGTGAAATGAACATCACCTACCAGTTTCCCCTCTAACTCACACATAACCCCCAACACAGTCCCTTCCCAACTTTATGTCCATATTTTTGACAACCCACTGAAGTCCAATTTACTGCTACCCATAAGATGTTTATTTTCAACCACAACAAAAAGTCAATAATCTAAAGTGCAGAGAATTTGTTGCCACATGTCAAAACTAGCTGGAATGGTGAATCTGAATTTCCCACAGTTCACACTTATTCATAACACAGCATTATACTACTGAGTGTCCCACTTCATGCTTGTTCAGAACACAGAGTTACACTACTGAGTGTCCCACACTTAGAACACAGCGTTAGTTACACCACTGAGTGTCCCACACTTCACACTAGTCAGAACACAGCGTTACACTACTTTTTCTTCAACACCCATGCACTCAGAAGCAGACCATAGTTGTATGGCCTGTTTTTAAGGAAGTGCACAGGACAAACATGAATGGAAACCAAACACTTTCTAGAATTGGAATGTTGCTCTCCATGCCCATGCTCCAACAATGAACTAACTTTGTCTCTCTAGGGAAGAGGGAAGAGCCAAAGGACTAGAAGTGAAACATCAGAAAACATGTTTTAAACCATGAGGGAAAACGCCATCCTATCCACATATTAACTCCTATTTCTCTCCAATTTAAACATTCTATAGGTAGTAATTTTGTGAACGATTGGCATGGATTTTTAAATTTCATTCTAAAAGAAGTTAGCTTTGGTTTAAATCAATCCTGAGTTTCTTATCTGTCTCAGAACATCAGTTGCCCCCATCTTGCTGTTTAACTTAGGTTGGTCTTGAATTTGGGATCCTCCTCCCTGCATCCCTGGAATGCCAAACGTATAGGTCAGCACCACACAGCCCAGCTACCTATTTTTCTACAGCAAAATCTTCTCAACACATTGTAGTATATGCACCCTTAATAATGTAACAAACAAAATCACGGCTCAGAACTGGATGGTAACAGGAACTAACTTAGATGGATGCTGGGTATAGCAATGACTTACTCCATGAAATAACTGATAAGTGATAATCCATGAAAGAAATAACTTGTAATTTTAATTTTCATTGAAATTAAAAACTTCTACTTTGCAAAAGACACTGTGGAGCGAATGAGAAGAAAAGTCCTGGAGGAGAAGATGCTTGAAGATACACATCTGATAAAGGATGTTTTAAGACAAGAAATAACCAGATTTAAAAGTGGGACAAACGCTTTAAAGGACACACAGGTGGCAAGTGAGCATGAGGATAGATGCTCTACATCATAGTGGGGTTAGATTAAAATCACGCCGGACAGGAGTGGCACAAGCTTTAATCCCAGCACTCGGGAGGCAGAGGCAGGCAGATCTCTGTAGTTCGAAACCAGCCTGGTCTTCAGAGCGAGTTCCAGGACAGCCTCCAAAACAATACAGAGAAACCCTGTCTTGAAAAACAAAACAAAACAACAACAAAAAAGATTAAAAATCACAATGAGATACCACTCTATATACCTACTAGAATGTCCAAAATCCAGGAACATTGACATATCAAATGCAGGTAAAGACAGAGAGCAACAGAGGCTCCTCCTTTACTGATGGTGGGAATGGGGGGGGGGTGCTTAGCAGGTGAAAATGCCTACTGCGAGAGCCTGATGACCAGAGTTCAATTTCCAATGCAAAGTTGTGCATCTATCTGTACTCCCAGCACTCTGATGGGAGATGGGAGATGGGAGATGGGGGATGGGAGATGGGAGCTGGGAGATGGGTGATGGGAGATGGAGATGGGGGATGGGAGATGGAGATGGAAGATGGGGGATGGGAGATGGAGATGGGGGATGGGAGATGGAGATGGGGGATGGGAGATGGAAGATGGAGATGGGGGATGGGAGATGGAGATGGAAGATGGGAGATGGGGGATGGGAGATGGGAGATGGAGATGGGGGATGGGAGATGGGAGCTGGGAGATGGGGGATGGGAGATGGAAGATGGGGGATGGAGATGGGAGATGGAGATGGGGGGATGGGAGATGGAGATGGGGGATGGGGGATGGGAGATGGGGGATGGGAGATGGGGGATGGAGATGGGAGAACGGCCAGCGGGCAGGAACCTCTCAGGCCAGCTAGGCGGGGTAAGCTGTCAAATGGTAAAAACATGAAGAGAGACCCCGCTCAAGAAGGTGAGTAACAAGAACCGAGTCTCCACAGGCACACTTGCCCACACTCACACATGAATCACACACGCGCACACGCACGCGCACACACACACACACACACACACACACACACACACACACACACAGAATACAACACAATGCCCTTTAACCAGAAAGCCCACCCTGCTGGTTTCCAGATGTTTCGGTACCAAATGTCCTCGGAAGCGACCCAGATGTCCCTCTGCAGGTGAACCGGTAACTGGTCTACAGAGACAAGGGATATTATTCAGCACCGAACATAAATGTAATATTGACCCATGAAAAGACACAAGATGCAATCTTAAACACGTATTGCGGGCTAGAAAATAATAAAAAATCTAAAGACCACAAACAGATGTTCACCATTGCGCTCAAGAGGTTGCCGTTTAACTATAAAAATTTGAAGGCTAAGAAATAGAAAGTAGGTAAGCACTAGGAATACCAAAAGGTGACTGCTGAAATGTAAATTCAGATAGAAACCGTACTTGAACACGTACAGTCATCGACTCCAATGTCCGTGAGTTGGCGATGTTATTAAATTCCCAAGAAATGTTTTAAATGAAACTTCATTCCTAACAAATATGTTCTTTTGCTCCAACTAGGGAAGAAACAATTTTGGGACTATTTCCAAGTTCTCAAAAGAAAGATTTGTATCATCTACAGTTTTCACAATGTGTTTCAAAAAAACATAATAAAATAGCTCTATGCTTTAAAGCTAGCTTATTTTGTGACCTAAATTTCATAGTACATGAAAGGGGATGAAAACCTCACTGAAAAAGCGGGTGGGGAAGAGGCTCATACAGATCCACCTGGGATTACGTTAATTAAAAAATTCTAGACATTCCAAGCATATCTCTACACTTGTCGGGCCAAAGCCTTTTCTGTATAAAGGACTCTGAGCTCTTCTTCGGGGGGGGGCGTAGGGGGATCAAAAGCTTAAAAAAGGAAATAAGTGTCTTGCAAATACATATTTAGCGCACTTTGAGTTTGCTATGGTCACCAAAAGCTTTTCCGTGTGAGCGAACCGCCGTCCCGGGGAACCATGATTCAGGACTTCTGTTTCATCCACCCCGGAATAGAAACACCTGGCCTGGAAGCGGTCACCCCGCGTCCCCGGAGTCCCTGGAGGAACCCTAGAGCCCTTGGCAGCTGAGCGAAGGGCAGTGCTGTCGGCCGGTGCGGAAAGTGGCCCTGGTGCGCGCCCCGCGGGAACCCCCACACATGCTGGCACTGGGGCCCGCGACCCGCAGGATCGATCGGGCCACTACGCCGAGGAGCCCTCCAGGACCAGTGACCTCACAGCCCCGAGAAGCGTCGGGCCCCTTCCCGTTCCGCCCCATCCACCTGCACCTCGCCCCCGGAGCGCCCCGCGGCCCGCACCTGCGCCCCCACGCGTGCCCTCACCGGCGCCGGGGCGGCAGCTGAAGTCGGCGGTGCCCCTCGCAGCCCGTCCTCGTCCTCGGGGGCCTCGTCCAGAAGCACCCGGTTCCGGCTCAGCTTCCACATCTCGGGCGTTCGGCCGCTCGGCGCAGCGTCGCTCCCGGACTGAGCGAGGACGCTCGGCCCGCGGCTCCGGGACGGTGCGGAGGACTGGGCGGGGAGGGGCGGTCAGCTGCGGGAGGCCGTCCCCTCCCCGCCCCCAGGCCCGCCCCCAGACCCTCCTCCACCCTTCAGGTCCCCTGCCCTCTGGCCCTCCTCCCCCCCTGACACTCTACCCGCGTCCCCTCGGTCTCTGACCTCCCCCACCTCCCCAGGGCTACCCCAACCTCCTTAAGTAGGTCCCCCAAGCTAATACAGCCAGCCGAGTCCCTTACCCAGGGACCACGAACCCGGGCGCAGCACGTGACATTTCACGCCCGTGGCCCCTGGACCCCCAGCCCTCCGCTCACTCAGCCCGATGGGCGTGGTCCATTCCGGATCACCAAGGCAACGCTGAGGTGGGGCCGCACAATACGCATGCTCACCCCGTTTCTGCTACGGGGCGGCGGGGGCAGGGGGGGGCGGTGAGGACGGAGAGGGGGCGGCGAGGGCGGGGCTGCGCAGGCTGCCTGCTGAGGGGTAGGGGTCTAAACTGATCCTAAAAGGTGACACCAGCCACCGGAGGAGGGGAGGCACCTGGGGTGGGTACTAGGGAAAGAGAACAATTCCTGAATGGGCAACGGTCACTTTACCCTGCTATGAGGCCTGCCCTGGGCCTCCACTGATGGACACATACTGACCAAAGGAAAGAGTCGACCAGAATCCAGGGGCTCAGAAGAGACGAGGCTGGTGAGTTGGCAGTGCCGGTTGGACCTGGTCATCACCCTTGACTTCCAGTGGTCCTCCGGCAGGCACAGGCTGTCATCTTTCAGGGTGCCACTTAGGCTACTCAAACCTGAGTCCAGATTCCCAGCAGCAGCAGCAGCAACAAAAATCTGAGCGTGGTGGCTCAGTGGGGTGGGCAGAAGACAGGCGAATGCCCAGAGCTAGATGTCCAGTCAGTGTAGCCAATCTGTGTTCTGGGCCAGGAAACCTTATCTTTAAAAATAAAATGGAAGCAGGGTAGTGATGGTGAGTTCAAGACCAACCTGGTCTACAGAGCGAGTTCCAGGACCTCCAGGGCTACACAGAGAAACCCTGTCTTGAACTCTGCCTTAAAAAGAAGAAGAAGAAGAAGAAGAAGAAGAAGAAGAAGAAGAAGAAGAAGAAGAAGAAGAAGAAGAAGAAGAAGAAGAAGAAGAAGAAGAAGAAGAAGAATTATGACTTCTGGCTTCACAGACATTTACACATGTACTCATACCTACTTTCAGTCATATACTATACAGACAAAAATAAAATAAAACTATCCACTAGTGTATATTTTTGTAAAAAAAATACTGTAGGTAAACTAAGAAATTCCTTCTTCATGTTCTTCAAGTATTCAAGAACATTAAAGGTATACACAGTCAATAAGAGTCTTTTCAAGTCAGCTCTGGCCTGGCTTGTCTAGGACAGTTTGGAGCTAGCAGCAACAAAGAACACGTAGCCACAAAGTACTTTCAAGTAAACATAATAAGCAAGGAAAATACAACACCGTGGCCCAATCAGCCCATTTACAGATGCTGCCCGGCTTCCTCTGGGGCTACATGTCAGAGTCAGGACCGTCACAGTAAAAGTACACTGAAATTCCCAAAGAACTCAGAAGGTCAGGCCCGCTACCCAAAATGCTGAGTTCTACAACACTTTAAACAACACTAAACTCATTTTATGGAAGAGCATGACGGGTTAAGAATGGAGAGGCAGGAATGACAGGGAAGTAGTGACTGGTAGTTGGCTCTGTGAAGGATGTCTTGCAAGGTCTACAAACTTTATGTGGGGTATTCATTCCCTCATCTGTGAGCCATGCTGTTGTCAAAGTTTATAAGAGGATTATTATACAGCATCGTGAAAACAACCTTTACACATGCAGATTCATTTTGGGACCCAGAAAGATCTTGGCTAAACAATCCTTTCCTGAACATTCAGTTGGAGGAAGCTGTAGATTTTAGACTGAATTGCCTTTATTGAATAACATAGAATTCACTGGTGTCAAAATTCTTTTCTACTTAACTAAATATCAATTGTGTTGCCTCACTCTGAATTCAAAAAGCACAAGGCTTCAATGACTGAGATATTAATGAATTGGTGCAACACAGCCCTTGCTCCAAAGAGAGCAAGAATTTCTTCTGAGGCAAATGAGTGGGCATGGTTCAAGATACAGATTCACGTGCCCCACCGTGGAAGAAGTGACACGAACTTTTACAGTCACAAAATAAATCATGAGTCAGTACGGGTTTTTAGTGATATTGGTGGGGGCATGAGGTCAGGAGCTACATGCCAGGGAGGAATCTTCTAAAAGTCTTAGGTGTTGACATCGTTAGCTTTAGGGTCGAAGGAGGCTACAGGTCTGCTAAAATAATCTGAGAACATTACTTACTAGTCCCAGAAAAGTTAGGTCAGATACAAAAGATAAACTATTATTAAAAAAGGACTAAGTTCGGGGCCAGTGTGGTCTACAGAGCAAGTTTCAGGACAGCTTCCAAAACAACACAGAGAAACCCTGACTCGGAAAAAAAAAAAAAAAAGGACTAAAATAGGCTGGGCAGTGGTGGTGGTGCATACCTTTAATCCCAGCACTCAGGAGGCAGACACAGGCGGATCTCTGTAAGTTCGAGGCCGGGCTGGACCGACAGCCTCCAAAACAATACAGAGAAACCCTGTCTCGTAAAAACAAAACACAAACAAATAAAATAAAATAACCCAAGATAAAGTTGGTTGGTTCTCAACCTGCCACACCCTCCATCTTCCCACAGTCATGACACTCTACCCAGCCAAGCTCAACAGTTTCAGGGTCTTTAATATGGAGGCAGTTTCTTCAGAGAACTCGTGTTCGCTGGCAATGGGTAGAAGGCGACAGTCATCATAAACTGGACAGGAGGGTTTATCAGGAAGCACAGAGGGCCTTTCCCTCCAAGAGTAACCTGACTATAATTCCTCAGTTACCTAGAAAGCTTCCTATAGACAATGATGAACGCAGGAGTGCAGTCCCTGAGGCCATTAGCCAGCCTCCTCTTCTGGAAAGCTCCAACGGTTACCAGTCATGGGCACTGCCTTATTCTTAACTCCAGCACCATTCACTCCCAGCAGTCTAAAGGCAAAGGGGAGGAGTCCCCCACATCCTTTGAAGTCCCCTTCCCCTCCCAGCAAGCCAGGGCTAGTGGCTTCCTCCTCCTTGAACTCAGCCTCCCTTCATGTTCCCAGACCAGTCAAAGGCCAAGGCCTTTTCATTATTTCCCGTTTCCTCCCCAGGAAATTATATGATTATAATAAAATACCAAGAAGAATAGGGAGTGCAGTTGCCCTTCCTAGCAGATGCTATTTTTAAAGCACTTTTGTGTCTGGTGTCTAATGTGAATCATTCTCAAATCTTCACCACCAAGGGTAACATTTATTCCTTTCTTTAAAAATCATAATCAATTCAAAGGTGTTAAAATTACCCGTGGCATTGGTTAAAACAGTGAGAATGGCTGTATTCAGAACCACCTTGACAGGCTCTAGGGCCACTGTAGGGGGATCCCACAGAGGGAAAGTGAGAACAAGTAGGGGTTTAGATACAGAGAACCTGTATGTGCTCACGTGTGCATGCATCCATGTATAAAGTCACTAAGGGGAGACACGGGTGGGAGGGCATTCTAGCTAAACTGGCCTTATAGGATTCTTGCTAAAGGCAGGGAAGGTGAGAAGTCACCACCTGGGGACTGTGAAGGGTGAGGAAATAGATCAAGTGTCCAGATGAGGCTTCTGGGTAAATGGAATCAACAGGACTCTCTGCTCCACGGTTGAAGATCGAACCCAGCAGCTTGCATTTAATAAACACAGACTCTTACCTCTGAGCTACATCCCAAATTACATTCTCCACCCCAACACACGATCTTAAACAGGATCGTTGCTGATATGGGACCCCAAAAGGTTGGAGAGTGAAGCCCAGGGGCTGACCTGTTGAAGCAAAGGGATCAGAAATGCTGGCTTGAGTTTGACAAAGTAGAATCCACCATCTAAGGTCCCTTCTGAACAGATTTGCCCAGTCAGGCCACTTTCGTTTAGTAAGGAACACCTAAACATTTCTTGGGATTGGTGCCTGGGATGTTAGCTGGGATTTGCCAGTGAACAGGCATTTAATGAAGGAGATTTCTAGGAAGGTAAAAAAGAACCCAATTAATGGTTGCCATCCATTATCTGAGTCCATAGGGCATTGCAGATTGGGTTTGTGTGCCCTGGAGGTGGACATCAGAGCAGTCTAAAGGTGGCCTGTTATGCTTACCTATTCTGTTTATATCCAGGCCCTGCTTCTGCTTATGACTGGGAAAATGGCAGCTTTCATGAAGTCACCAAGGAACCTTTGGTCTGGGGTGCTGTAGCAGACATGGGGAAGCAGTGGGGGAAACTGGGACTCCACACTATGGGGTGCTAATTTCCCACTGAAACAAAATCTTCCTACACAGTCTCCCTGTTGGTCAAAAATAAATCAAGCCACTGCACTTTGGGATTTGTTTTTCTTTTTTTTTTTTTTTTTTTTTTTTTTTGGTTTTTCGAGACAGGGTTTCTCTGTATTGTTTTGGAAGCTGTACTGGAACTCACTCTGTAGGCCAGGCTGGCCTCGAATTTAGAGATCCTCCTGCCTCTACCTCCCGAGTGCTGGGATTAAAGGCGTGAGCCACCAACGCCCAGCGCACTTTGGGATTTGAACCACTGTCTTTGGACAATCTTGGCTAGTCTCACTCACAAATTAAACCTGTTCTCATTAGATTTTGACTTAACCAATTATGAAAGTGCAGTACCTTGGTCTATGTAGGCTTCGATAACAAAAATTCTTCGGCTGAGTGGCCCAAAGGAGTACTAATGTATTTTTTTCACAGTTCTGGAGACTGGCGGAGTCCCTGGTCACAGAACATCTGCTGCCTCCTCTCCGTGTTCTTAGTGATAATGGACAGGTGGCTATGTGGCGATTCCATCTCAGGGCACCAACACCATCATGAGGCCCCGCCCCATGACCAAAGGCTGCACGTACATCCTCACACCATCTGGACGGTTAGAACTTCAACGTACAAGTTTCGGGAGAACACAAACATTCAGACCATAGCAAGAGAAGGAATTTACCAGAAAACTGCATTAAGTTAGCTTGTTGGAACCCCACTCCCTCCATCCCCACATATCTAGGGAATCTCAAATTTGTCTTTCAGAAAGCTACCTGGGACTACAAAATGAAGCCAGGAATTCAGCACCAGACTTTGCCGTTACCACAACTGACTTGGGTGGATTCCTGTCTTATCCTGAACCCAAGGTTTCTTAAGTTTCCTCAACTTGCCAGGAAGTGAGCTACACCCAAGGCTGAGACCCTACCCCTCAGATACCAGCATAAGCATTCGC